GGTTTCACCCAGTTTTCTTTAAACCTACATTCTCATAGAGCTGGAAGGGACCACGAGGATCATCTAGTCCAACTCCCTGCAATGCAGGAATCTTTTCCCCAACATGGGTCTCGAACCCGTTACCCTGAGATTAAGTCTCATTCTCTACCAACTGAGCTATCAGGTTGCTGTGTAATGTTATTGATGTTATTACTGAAATGCTGTTTGAAGTATATGCCCCCTTTACCGATTTTGTTTCCCCAAAAAACTACAGGTTGTGGCTTCTGCTTGCATTGTTCACCAACTCCATCTACCCCCTTCACCCCCACCCCATTGCCAATCCCCCCCTCTTTACAACTCACCCCCAAACCCCTCCTCCCCATCTCCTCACATCTCACCTGTTCCCCTTTCCATCTCACAATTCACCCTCCTCTCCCCCATCAGATTGCCCAATCCCTTCCTCATAGGTCACACACACACACACACACACACACACACACACACAAAAGTCCTGCATCACCACTCCCACATATTGCCACCCGCTGGACCCCCCACCAGCTGTGCTTTGCACTCTCCTCAAGTGTTTTGGCTTGGTTTGAATGCATCCTTCAAGTGTTATGTCTCTTGCTTTCATGGATGGAGAGATGAAGGGCAGGAGAAGGGGTGGAAAGATCCAACTTCCGCGCATGTAGAATGTACTCAAGTATACAAAAGTAAAAGTCATATCCATTGCTGTGCCCGAACTGGCATGTGGCTTCTGGGAAGGTTTCCAACTGTAGCCCTTGGGCTGACAAACTCGCCTGATTTGGGCAAAGTGAACAGCCAGCTTGGTGATCCATTTGGATGGCATATGCTGCCCTGGAATCCACCTCAATAAGCCGGTTGCAATGTAATTTTGACCATTCCAAGTCTTAACTTCTGCTTCCCAAGATCTTTGCAGGCAAACCTACATTCCATACTACATCATTTGGATTTTTTCACCCACTGGTGGTGGTTGTTTTTTATCCACCTCACAAGATTAACGCTGCGTTCTTTTCATAAACCAAGTAAAGAAAAGCTTTCAGATACATCTTAAGAGATTGATATGTGCCAAGGATGAATAATTTCCCGTGATAGTAAGATAGAAATTTAACCAATGAAGTTAAATTTGTGTAAATTCAAGCAAGATGCTTTTAATAAAAGGAGAATTTCAAAAATCCAATGCGATAAAAGTGACTTTTCGTTTGCTTTTGAAAATGCATTTAACTGAAGAGAGTGATTTATTAGGGAAGCTTTTACTTTGGTCACAAGCTTAGTTAGAGTTTTGGGAGTTGCCTTTTGCTGGCCTCAGACATAATGCCTAAAAACAATTAGCTTTGCATTGTAATTATTGAGAGAAAGATGTGACGTCTGTAGATCCTGAAATATGAGCGACTTTAAGTGGAAAGCAAATAGGTCAAAAGAAATATTAATAGAAAGGAGCCAGACAATAATGCTTTCTGGATTGTCTTTTGCTTAGTAACTTCTAAGTAGCTGGAGCCAGTGCCCATTTTAGTGCTTTATCTTTATTAGGAATTGTTATGCATGAGTTCCTATTAGTTTGCCAGCAGTGGAATACTGATGCTTCTGTTTTCTGAGCTGCTCTGTTCTTAGAAGTGTGCTAACCCCAGATACAAAGAGCATTCTTCTGCTTAGTACATTCATTTGGAGGGTAGATTCATTCTATTAAATTATTAAGACTCCATTAGTCAAGATTATGTTAGAACAGGCAAGATTTTTCACTTCGTTTTTGTAAAATTTTGACTAACTTTTTACAAATAAAGAAATTGTTTAGACAGATGATTTGAATGATGCATTAAGTCCCAAGCTGGATAAACAGTGGTCCAAGGAAAGAAAGCATCAGTGAAATTCAGGTTACCAAGCAATGTAGGGTTATATATGAAATCCCTGTTATTAATAGATTGTGGGAGATATTGTGCTAAAGAGATTGTGCTTTTTATGCTATATGACATTTCACTAAAGAAGAGATTATACATTTTATTCTTTACCTTATTAAAGGTAAAGGTACCCCTGCCCGTACGGGCCAGTCGTGTCCGACTCTAGGGTTGTGCGCCCATCTCACTTAAGAGGCCGGGGGCCAGCGCTGTCCGCAGACACTTCCGGGTCACGTGGCCAGCGTGACAAAGCTGCATCTGGCGAGCCAGCGCAGCACACGGAAACGCCGTTTACCTTCCCGCTAGTAAGCGGTCCCTATTTATCTACTTGCACCCGGGGGTGCTTTCGAACTGCTAGGTTGGCAGGCGCTGGGACCGAACAACGGGAGCGCACCCCGCCGCGGGGATTCGAACCGCCGACCTTTCGATCGGCAAGCCCTAGGCACTGAGGCTTTTACCCACAGCGCCACCCGCGTCCCTTCTTTACCTTATTACACATACTTAAATAATGACATTATTTGGATTGCCCCTACTATAGTGTGGGAAGTTCATCAAGTAATAATAGCAGTAGGTACAATGGAGTTCATAATCTGGTTATACTAGGAAGGAAGGAAGGAAGGAAGGAAGGAAGGAAGGAAGGAAGGAAGGAAGGAAGGAAGGAATTTTCAATGTACTATAGTGGTAGAGAAAGTACAAAGCAAATATTCTGGAAATCAAATATATTGGTGAAATCGTATGCATGTTTACTCAGAAGGATTCAGTGGGACTTCGTATGAGGTAAATGTATAAACCAATGTGGCCTTAAAGAGTTGCACTGAGGACAAGCTAGTATGATTTGTTCTGCAGGAGTTTTAGATTGTGCATTCCGTATCCTTAACAAGTAGATCTTGTTTAACAAGATTGAATGTTCTGGATCTGTAGGGGAATGTGGACAGGGCTTTTTTTCAGCTGGAACTTGCTGGAACTCAGTTCCAGTGCCTCTCAGGTGGGCGCCATTGCCTTTATAAGAGAACAAGTGAGGTGTTTGTGGTGAATTCCAGCACCTCTTTTTCTAGAAAAACAGCACTTATAATATGGATCACAAAGAGCCTTTCTTGTGAGACAGATCTTAGGACGTTTCAGACATACTTGAAAACTGTTTTCGTTCTCACCCGAGGCATTGTTACAGCTACTGCTGCTAAGGCTCATTTACATTTTCTTAGTTTTCAAATGAAGGCTTACCGTGCTTTGAAAATTCATGCAGGCTGTTGCAGGAGAGGGCACAGCCCCACTTGTTGGGACAAGAAAGTATGCAGGTGTATGCTATTCATGTTGGATGGAGGGCCAATCATTCATTCCAGATGCTCTCATAAGTGACATCCAAAGCACATGAAGCTTGACAATTCAGTTGTAATTTCTGTTCCTTGCATTGACCTCAGTCAAACTCAACAGTGGTTTTCCTGCAGTTTTCAAAGTGTAGTAAAAGTCACGCAGAACCACAAGGTGATTTTAGCAGCATAGATCTCCATGTCTAAAGGCTAGAGTATTTCTTCAGATGTACCGTCAGGAGGCTCTTTGAAAGCTGCCTGCCATACTTGAGGAGTATAGATTTCAGCTTGTAGCAGAGTGGTAGCACCAGAAAAATATGTGAAGTGCACAGAAGGAGCACTGTATGTTTTGGAGAAAAATGGGAAGGGACCTTACTCACATTTTAGATTTCTGAAAGAGATTCACTTTAACACTTCCATCCTTGACATTTTCTCTATAAGTATTTTCAATGGATTTTTGATGAAATGTCAAGTAACTTTGCTCAAAGTTGAAGCTTTACTTTAATTTATAGTTTATAATTTGTGTGTGAAAACTTGCTTTCCTTCAACTAACCACAGGGATTTCAAGTGACAGAAGGAGCCTATGACATGGGGGACCAGTGTGGCACCTGCTAGATGTTTTTGACTAGAGCTCCAATCATCCCTGACCATTGCCCATGATGACTGGGGCTGATGGGAATGATAATCCAAAACATCTGGAAGACACCACATTGGCTACTTCCGGGCCATAACATCTGACAGAATGTGGAAATAAAATCCTATGCTAAGAGTGGCTGTGCTGGCACATAAATTTTTAGAACCGGGTCATAGCAAAGGTACGCAGTCACAATACTACAAAGCATATACTCCCATTAGCATTGCAACAGTGTTGTGATGACATGGGAGAGGTATGCCAATGGAAATATTTGACAAAAATGCCAAAGAGCAGAATTTTGAAAGCAAAGAGAGAGATATTTTATACCCAGCTATGCAACATGTTGCCCATTTCCAGTATGTGTACAACTATTACAACAACAAAAGCCCTCCTGAAGTAGCCGGCCTGTATTTCCAGACAACCATTGTTTTAAATCTCTAATGCACTCAGCTCTACCCCAGCCAGCAGACTGAAGTTTTAAAAGGAAATGCAAAATAAATTAATGTGCTGGCACAGCTTATCTTAAACGTCATATCCTGTGAGTGTGGCACCCACATCGAATTAGGCAAGCTGACTTTAGATTGCATAAAAATAATGTTGTATTATTGCTATTTATTATTTATTTAACTTACTCCTCTTTTTGAATGAAAAGTAACTCAAAGCCACTTTTAAAAAATCTGGGACACTGTTAGGCAAAAAAGTAGTGCACTGTGTTAGACCTGGCATTGGTGCACGTACACAGAATGTGAATAATACTGTAGACCACTTTCCATCTTAAAAGGAAGCCGCAATAGAATATACCTAGATGACTTAGCTTGCAGTCCTAACAATGCCTACTCCAAAGTAAGTTGTATTGAATTCAGTGGGACTTACTCCTTGATAAGTGGGGTGAAAATTGCAGACTTCACTTCGGTTGAATTTTTGGAATGAAATAGATAAGATTTTCAAAAGTTCTTTCGATTGAAGAGGAGAACACAAATGGCAAAACATAATCTTAAAGGTTTGTGGCCTATTTTCCAGGACCGGGAAGACAGAAAATGACATTTTATAATGGATCTCTTAGATTTTTAGGTGATTCTGGTTTCAGTTGTTCACAGTATCTAATCAGTGCTCAGTTCCGTGAATACTGACTAGCTGTATTCATAGTCTTTATCTATTTCCCCCTAGGCAACAACCTTGATGCTATCCATGACATAACAGTGGCATATCCTCAAAACATTCCTCAAACCGAGAAGCATCTTCTGTATGGAAACTTCCCAAAGGAGATTCATTTTCACGTCCAGAGATATCCAGTACAGTCTCTGCCAACCTCTCGGGAAGAACTGCAACTCTGGTGTCAGAAGCGCTGGGAAGAAAAGGAAGAAAGGCTTCGTTTGTTTTATGAAGGCAAAAAATACTTTGATGCAACAGGAAGAAGCAAAATTCCACCCTGTAAATCTGAGTTCAGGGTCATGGTTGTTAAGTGCATTTCACTCTTTTACTGGACATCTTTCACACTGGCTATGTTTGTGCTGCTATACTTGTACAGCTTTGTGCGGTGGTATTTTGTGATTCTTGTTGTCATTTTTGTTATGCAACAAAAAGCATTTGGTGGGCTTGAATTGCTGGAACTTGCATGTCATCGATTTTTTAGTAAAAAATTACGCAACTCAGAAAGAGACTAAATTTGGTGTATGTTGTGGGGAGGGGGGTTAGGTTTGTGGACATTTTTCAAATGTACCACAGGGTTTGCAAAAGTGGGAGGAGATTTTGCATGAGAATCATTGGTCTGTCTTAATGCTGTGGTTGGTTAATACACTGTGCACTTATATTGTAAAAGGAGAAAGAACAGTCATGTGAATTTTTAATTTTTGAATGTATTTTCAGAGTTTCTCTCTTTGGCAGCTAGCATATACAATGTCTCTGCAAAATAATTTGCCAACCAATCACATTTTATAGCTCTTGAGCCTTTCGGGAGCTATAAATAGCTAGGCAAATTGTTGTGTTAAAAGCAGTGGCCTGTGATCCCTACATGGCCTTGCCATAAATAAATTGTGAAATTTGAAAGTCCCCACTCATTACATGGTATATTGCCCTTTCTTTAGCTCTTTCCTCCTTTCCCTTTCTGTGAGAGAATCATCATTAGTATCAGCAAATTTTCTGACCTGCAGAATGAGAAAACAAAAGATGTTAATTTGGGTCTATTTTATTATACTCCATTTTTATATGCCTGTTCTGTCTGTTGATTAAACTGGTACAACTTGTACACCTCAGTTTTTAAACAAGCTTTGAAACAAGTTTTGAACATGTATTTTGAAACAAGTTTCAGTGAAAATCAGTTGTGTTGATCTTGAGGTAAATATTATGGCAAAGGATCTTCATGAAGTTTCAACAAATATTTTGTCAGCAACCCACCTAAGGCTGGCTGTATTGAAGCCCTGTGAATGGTTTGTAATATTTTAAGATAGTAGGCAATCTCATGTTTGAAACTGGATTGGCCTACAACATAAACACGTACCAAACCATCCACAAGATAGGAAACAAGGAGCCAGCACATAACACGATTGTTCAACACCAACAAAGCATCTTTATGCCCACACAATTAGAAGAACCAGTTAAATTTTTTATTTTTTAAAAAATCTCCCATTTGGATTGTGATGAAACATGAGAAAAGTTAAGAGTTTTTGTTGTTTGCTTGTTTGCTTTAATAATGTGTTTTTAGATCACAAATGGCACATGTAGATATGCTCACCTCACAAAGATTCACATGATAGGTGTCATCACTGGATCACCCTTCATTTCCTATCCAGGTGCTGAGAGTATAAAGAGAATGGACATTGGCTTTGCAATGAAGGAAATCATACAGGACTTGAATGTTTGAAAAACATGATGGCTTTTCACACTGTATTAGAAGCATGAGTTTCAGCATTGCTGTGAAGAATTTCACCTTGATTATGTGAGAGAAAATATTTTTATTTTTTGTTTCGCTGCTTAGTTCTACTGGTCAACATTTGGCCCAGCCAGTAGGAACACCTTTACCTGCTGAGGTTAAAGTGGCATCCTATAGATGGCAAGTGAAGTTGAGGCATCATGTCCACAGTCACTCCACCCACCCCAGTGTAACTCCCCTACAGCAAAGAAACAGGTGGCTGAAAAATGACTCCTAGAATGCCAAATAGGACTCTCACAGTGCCACCTACCCTTTGCTCCAGAAAGTCCTTTGCACAGGACCACTTCCCAGTAAAAGGCGATGCCTGAACAACTAGTGAGCCAGCAAGCTAAAACAAACAAACACCAAGAGCCACCTATCCACCAGGGAGACTGATCAATCTTGTGTTTGCTGCCTGCCAGACAAAATCAGGTTGTCAAGCCCCTGGCAGGCCGCAACATGTGGCTGGTTGGACCTTCTGTGGTCTTGGAAGGTCACCATTCTCAGTGTCTCAGACACTCTGGTTTATATGCTTCTTTCATGAACTGCTTCCTGTTTTCTAGAGCACCTGTTACCTTTGCTTTTGACATAAAAATAAATGGGGGAGCCGCTGTCATGCAAACTACCAGAGTGGGGAGAGCTTTCTAGGAAGAAGAAACCGATCTCTATTCAGTGGAGGGAAGGGGGACCTGTGACCCTCCAGATATTGTTGGACTACAAATCCCTATATCCCTAACTGCTGCCTGTGATGACTGGGAATTGTAGGCCTGGCTACATCTTGGCTGCCCCTTCTCTATTCACTCTCTTGGCCACTCTGGAAATAACCCCACACTTGCTAAGAAGCAAGTTCCCTACTCTCTCTAGTGACTTGAGACTACATATATTCCTTGAAATGTCCTAGCTTAGTTATACGTCATCTCTGTTGACTAAGCACTTCCCCCCCAGCACTTTTTCTTAGAATTACAGTGAACTCTTTTTACGGACTGTATTTGTCATCAATTGGTTATAGCTGACAAAGTTCCCTTCCCTGCACTGAATATAATTAGTAAGACGGAGCCATAAGCCAACACTTAAGGTATTTATTGTTGATCTCATTAAGTGTCATGTCTGCTTCCATGTCTTCGTTCAAACCTTGTTGCTTCTGCAATGCATTTTTATAGGTTCATTTTATAAATCAATTGTATTAAGAGACAACTGGGGTACAAAAGGTCTCCAGACTAGCCTTAGTTTTCAGGTTTTACCAAACTGTTAGAATGTTTTAGCCACAAACGAACAAACCTATTCTACAGCAACAATAAAAGAATTTCAAATGCACATTGGTGTTATTGTATTCCTTGGTATAATATCCATGGTGAATTAGACCCTTTTTCATAAAATGAAGACATTGCTTCTTTCTGCAGCCTTTTACTGAGAGATTGATTTACTATTAAGGCATCCAATCTCAAAGGTTCAAAGAGGTTGTGATATTGCATTGTAGCAGAATAATAACAGCAAACCAATTCAAATAGGGTGAGAACATGGCATGAGAAAAGCTTGCCGGATCAGGCCTGTAGCTCAGCTAATCCAACCTCCTCTTCTCCCAGAAGCCAACCAGATACCTATGGGAAGCCAACAAGCGGGACCTGAGCACAACAGTACTGTCTCCTCCTCTCGTTTCTGGTATTCAGAAGCATAGCACCTCCAGCTCTGCAGGGAGAACATATCCATTGGGGTTCATCAACCCATCAACAGCCTTACCCTCCATCAATTTGTCTAAGCATCTTTTAAAGCCAGACAATTTGGTGGCCATTGCTTTCCCTTGTGGGAATTAATTCCATAGTTTTAACTACGTGCTGTGTGAAGGAGTAATTTGTTTTGTCTAGCCTGTATTTCCAACATGGAACAACACTGGATGTCTCTGAGTTCTGGTCTAATGAGAGAGGGAGGAAAACTTCCCCCTAACTACTTTCTCCATACCATGCCCTTGCCAAAATCATTCTTGGGTCGGCATACAGTCATACCTCGGGTTACAGGCGCTTCAGGTTGTGGTTTTTTTGGGGGGGTTACGGACCCACCAAAACCCAGAAGTACCGGAACAGGTTACTTCTGGGTTTCAGGGGTCACGCATGCGCAGAAGCGCTAACTCGCACTTTGCGCTGAATCACAATCCCCACATGCGCAGATACGCCACTGCGGGTTGCGAGCGTGCACCCCACACGGATTACGTTCGCAACCCAAGCATCCACTGTTCTCTATGACTATTCAGGCATTATCAGGCTTACCAAAAAATATGTTTAAAATGAATATTTTGAGAGCATTTCAGCAGTTCAAAAGAAAGGTTTAGAAATGTATATTTCTGTTGACAGTTTAAATCACAGATTAATACAGAAACAAGATGGATGAATATATGAAAAAGTGACGCAGACTGCAAATGGACTGATTTGCACAATTGCTCTGTAAAATGGGTGATTACCCAACTGCAGTCATCAAAATTACTGTGTGTCTCCTATTTGCTTCTTCAGTGTTCACAACAGACCCAGAGGCCTTTTAAGCTGGAGAAGACTCTAAACAAGTTTTCTGTTAAATGACACAACATTATCAGCCAACCTTTCCCGTGCTATTCAGTTCCAATGTTTGGTCTTTGATGCAGTCTGAGTGTAGTTTTTCTTCTTTGGATGACCATGCTGAGGCAAGATGGTGTGCTTCATGAGCCGGTAAATACACAACTTTGCTAGGCAGTGACAGGGATGCAGCTCATTCTCTTCATTCCTGAGGCTTAAAAAATGCATCCTGTGGTCCCCCCCCCATTCACTATAATGGAGACAAAGTGGTATTACAATTTGAGTTTTGTGTTAGGTGAGAAATCATCATAAGCCATAAGTAATTTATGTCTTTTTCCTTGTAGATTTTTCACTACCCCTTTCCCCAGTCCCATTTTTTCCATTGGAAGTGGAAATAACCGCACAAGCGCCAGTGCTGGCATAGTTTCACCTCTGTTCCGGGGGCATGTCTAGGAAATGAGGGGGACTTTAGATCTGGTAGATCCAAAGGCTTCCCTTGGATGAAACAGGGCTGCATTTAGAACACAAGAGCCCAGCCTGGAACAGGCCGCCTCTCCTGGTACGCCCCACGGAGGACACGGTCAGGGAGACGAAACTGCCCCAGAAGGAGCTTCAGCTAGGGAAAGCTGTGTGTATGGGGAGCTGTGAGGTTCCCCTAACTGTGTCCCTATATTACATTTAAGCTCAGTCAATCAGCTTATAGAATTCATGGTCTGGTTCCAGACTTAAGCTCTCTCAATGATGCACAGGGCAGTAAGATTACTTGGAACCTGGAGTTCTTCCAGGGACAACTGAAATTACTGAGTCATTAATTAGGTAAATGTGACAGGAAGTCACAAAAAGACTAAGATACTGAAACAATTTAAAACAACAACAAGAAGGAGAAGGTGACGCATCGTTTTTCACTTGTGACGTAAGTACTTTGTATGCATGCCCAACACAAATAGGAGGTTGCTCACCGGACTGGGTAAGAAGCGAAATCAAAACACATCTATATTTATCAAGGTTGCATAACACGTGGATCTAAGGTCAATTCAGGAACTGCTAGTGTCATAGGTGGAGTCAGCAAAGCTGATGGCCTAAAAATGAGCATATATTTAGCTGACAGGCTGTCACAGGGTTGTCTGTGTGAGAAAAATGGGTCCTTTAATAACCACAATGCTCTGCTTTCTTCAGGCCCCTCCAGATGTCCTGTTCATTGAGCCGTCATCATGATTTGCTTATTCAGAGGTTAGGTCTTTCTTAGCATTTGTTCTGACTTATGGCATAGTCATATGAGCAAAATATCCCCCTTCCTTTGCCACTGGGGCTTCTAAGCTCTTGGCCACTCTACCCCTCACAAGATCCCATGGGGCAATATTGCTTCCTGAGGGCTCTTGTGAGGATAGAATGACCAGCCTCATATAGCCAACATACTTAAGTCTAATTAATGTATGAAGGGGTTAAGACCATAGAGTAAGCTGTCCTGCCAGGCTTAACTCGCCTTGGGAGGGTCTAGGTGATCAAGACTTTGTTTCCTTTCAGTCTACCTGAGAAGCTCAGCAAGTGAGGAGATCTGAGCTGGCTGCTGTGTCTGAGACGACATGGTTCTGACAAGCCACTTTTGAGCTGCTATATCATTAATTTAGGAACATTCAGTACCCTAGCAGTGATGGGGAATGGTGTTGACTCACCTCCTATTGTAAGGAACCATCACTGAAAACACACATGAAGTGCTTTGACCACTTAGGAAAAAGCACAAGAGAAATGCTAAGGGTGGCTATTATCAGATCCTTGGCTGGGCTTTCTCTTTACCTTTCATGTCATATAAAAATGTCATGTTAATATGCGGTAATTCAATAGTTGCTCAGACCAGACATAAAGCAAATGCAAGGAGCCATGTTTGTCAGGCAAACATCAAAGATGTATATTATTCAATGCATATGGTGCCCTTTGTCACTGTTTTTATTTTTATTGGCCTGTTCTTAATTTTATTGACTTACTGCCCTTGAGACACCTTGTAAAAGTTTACCATAAATGTATTTATGGGGTATGAATACATTAAATAAAATAAATATGTGGCTAATGTATTCTTGCTTACTTTGGGTTTTAAAAAAACAACCCGTATCCTTGAACAGTGATATATATTAGGATTATTGTGTGGGCGAGGAGTGGGCACTACAACAGGGTATGGCCTGAATTACAAAGAGCATCAGGGTGACTTGGGGAAGGGTTTCACGTTTCCAAATATTGCATCAAATTTTTGCACAAAAAGAAAAGGTAATAGACTTCCCTTTTTGTTGTTGCTTTAAAAAAATAAAAGTTTAAAGTTGTGTTGCCTGTAACCTCCTGTATGCACCTATCCAAAGTTGAGGAAAATATTTTAAGGGTTTCCAAAAGTAATTACAAATTGGACCTCATTTGCAGCCCGTGAGGTGGGGTGGAGCCACAATGCCACCCACCCGTCCCCCGCAATAATGAATCTTACCTAGATGGGGCTGTGGTGAGGTAGGGCAGCGGTGGGAGTCAGGACATTGGTGGAACCAATCTAGCACTACCTCTACTGCCATTGAACAACCCTGATGTCCTCTAGATAAGTTGACGGAGGCTAATCATGGTTGTAGTCCAAAACATCTGGGGGTGGTGGTGTTGTTTAGTCATTTAGTCATGTCCGACTCTTCGTGACCCCATGGACCAGAGCACGCCAGGCACTCCTGTCTTCATCTGGAGGGTACCAGGTTGGAAAAGGCTGCTGTGGTCATCAAACTAAACTGACTACCCCATGAATTATGAGGAAGGGCCATAACTCAGTGGTAGAGGATCTGCTTTGCATGAAGAAGGCTCTAGGTTCAATCTCTAGGTAGGGCTGGGAGAGAGCCCTGTCTGAAATTATGTGGAGCAGCTGAGAGTCAGTATAGCAGACTAAGACAGCTTCCTAGCTTCCTGCTACCATGCCAAGCCTGGCCTTAGCCATTTTTTCGCACTATGGGCAAAACATTAAATTGACAAGGGCCCATCCTACCAAAACTTGTGAACATTTCCTGAGCAACCATTTAGAAATACAATGGACCGATTCAACACTTACAAAACAAGAGGTGTCTTGCTCTGCCCCTTCGACACCCAGAAAAGCCGCCCCGCACCCCCGTGCTCAAATTCTATACTAGACTATACTAGACCAGTATCATAAGTTTCTTCATAAGTGACTGTTTGACTATTTGACTGTTGTTAGCCGCCCTGAGCCCGGCTTCGGCTGGGGAGGGCGGGATATAAATAAAATTTATTATTATTATTATTATTATTATTAATGGGAAAGACGGCACTTTCTACTTCCTCCATTTTAGCCCTCACTCCTCCCCATAGGGTGCTGGCTAATGACTCAGATACTGGCAAACCATATGGAAAGCTACCGCATAGTAAAACAAAAAATGTATATGACCAAAAGACAGATTAGAGTAATCCGTGTACTTCAGAAATTAATTTTTATAATAACATTTATTTTTAAATATGCTACCTCCAAATAAATAAAAAGAGGGAATGACGCATTGTGCAACCTAGTAACGTCTACCGAAAGCCACTGACATTTCAAATGTGTTCATACTAGGAGTTAAGAGCCCTGAAGGATTTCTCCTATGAAACGTTCCCCCACGTTAGGGGGAAAAAAGAACCTTCAGAATGCATAGCAGATCCGCATGACCCTCTCTTGGTAATTCCTACAGCCATCTCAACTCAAGAGCCACTTCACTAAATTCAACATCATTTCAGTCCCAAGGGATTAGCTATGAATATATCTCGGTG